TATACACATCGCTCAGCCTGACAGAGGTAGATGGATCTTTATTCAAAACCACCTTTAATTTTCCAGAATTCCATATAAAAAAAACAAAACAAACAGATTTGATACATTTCCTATCCAGGACATTCATCATAAAAAAGTACTAAAAAATGTCACATGACAGGACTGAGGTTGTAGAAGGACAATGCTGTACAGATCATCTACAATCCCGGCACACACGATACAAAACACTGGCTGAGACTGAGCAGGCTGAAGAGCCATGAAGTGAGTACTGTCTGTGCTGCCCATAGAACCTCATGAAGGCGGCGGCGGGAGGGGACGGGGACACCATGGCCGTAGCTGGCTGCTATGACAACAGATTTAGGTAAAACCCCACATTCATGTTGTTAGACCAGTTTGTGTCCAGTTTTTCCAGTATATACTGGCAGCACTCACATAGCCCCGGGGAGCGGGAGGCTTTCCAGCGGTGACACAGCCTCTAGGTCCCGTCTTCTCACGCTCGTCTACAAGGAAGGAGCTGCACGCTTTATATATACACAAAGTCATTGAAATGTGTCTTCATAATAAAATATCTAAAAGTGAATAAATTAATATCTCACACACAAACACAGGATGCCGTCCGTCAGCAAATCCCCTACAGTAACTACAACCCACATCGTTCCTGCACACAGTGCAGCTGAGGATTATGGGAAATCTGCCGCCAGACTGTTCAGCGTCGTCTTCGGTAACTCGAGGTGGATTCCCTCCAAATAATGAAGAAACCTGCGGCGACACACACACAAGGATTAATGACGGCAAGAAGTGCGGCTGCTATCCTCCTCCAATGAGAAAGTCTCGTCTCCACATAAATCAGCACGGGTGACACTTCCTGTGAGTAATTTCAGATTGTAAGCCCTCAGGGGCAGGGCATTGTAATAATAATAATATATGGGCACCCCTTTATGAACCTGTAGAAAGAGACACCGACACTCCAAAATGATGATAAGCAAACGTCTGTTTATTGACGTGCAGCATAACAAATATAGCAAGGAACGTTTTGGGGTCACATACATGCGTTTGCCTGAGGAAGGGGATCCTCTGCGCCCCCCAAACGTTCGTTGCTATGTTTGTTATGCTGCACGTCAATACATAGACGTTTGCTTATCATTTTGGAGTGCCGGTGTCTCTGTTTCTACTTGTGATTAGAACGGTTGCCCCCCGTTGACTACCGCGGCACCCGTTTCTTGATGGGATTTGGCGGTCAGGAGTGCGATGGGAACACGGACTTTCCCTTTATGTACCTGACATTACAGATGCTGCTCTAGCGCCCCCTAGAGGAGGACGGTGAGAACGCAGGGAAGTGTCACCACAGTATTAGCAGGAAACCTTTACCTGCGCTTTGTCTTCCCTTCCTCCTTCGCCTTCTCGATCCGACAAATGCTGCGCAGGGCTGGAAGATATTCGGTCACATTGACTTGTCTGTTGCCCAGTGCGATGAACGCTCGGTTTGATAAAATGGTCCTCACAGTGGATAGCCTGCTCTCCGCAGTGCTGCAATGACACAAATTAGAGATATGGCTTTCCCATGCTCGCTGCCGTCTACAAAGCTGGCCATACACATTACAACCATGGCAAGACTTTCCTTGTGCGAGGATTGTAAGGTCAAAAACAAAAACGTACAATCTGCCCATCTTGGGCAGGCAGGTCGTACTTGAGATCATGGCAAGCCACGCCCCGCTGAGGGGCGGACTTACGATGACTGCAATGCTGAGCGGGCAGTGTGCGCATACCGGCCCGTACGGCATTTGTCTTCCGAGCACGCCACAAACCCGCCGACAAAAGCCCGATTCTCGGCGGGTTTTCAAACATGCTCGTAAGACAAAAGACTTGCGACCGTACAGTAGAAAGCGGTCGCACGCCTTCCATACACCCGCCAATGATCGTACGATAATCGGCAGGTGTATGGGCACCTAAAAGTGACATGAAACCCTCAGATTTTGTAACATAAACCAATACTGTAATGTGCGCCTCACTGTATTCCATGGTTGTTTCCCTTCTCTTTGCTGCTCTTCCTTTTAAATCCTCATGTCTTCTCATGCTGGGGGAGAACTTCACTTTGCAGCTGAGTGCCTCTTCCTGTAGTGCTGGCTCAGGTTGTGAACCTACACACAGACACCATGTATCCATTCCAGAGACAAGGCAGTCTGCTGCAAAACAGAAGTTCT